TTGATGGCCTCGCAGGTGTAAGCCCCTTGGTCGGCCTCCTTGACATCCTGGATGACCAGCGTCCCCCGGCCGTTCTCGCTGGTGAAGCTCACCCTGCAGGCACAGGAGGATCTGAACACCCTGAAGTGTTGAGGGAGGGAAGGGGAGCGGTTTGGGGTTCGAAAGAGGCCTGGCCTACCTGCGGCTGGTGGGGATATGGCCCCAGTTGAGCCTCCAGGAGATGAGGGGGGTCGGCACGCCCACGGCCACACAGGTGAAGCGAATGGTGTCCCCTGGGGCAGCCTGGATGAACTCCTCGGGGGGAGTGATGACCTGTGGGGGGACTGAGGCGGAAGGGACAAGAAGGGGAGAGGTGGCAAGGAAGGGCAGTCAGGCTGACTGGCTGGATTGTTTTAAAAAGCACCAGGGGAGGGGAATACAGAGAGGGTTGCCTAACAGTACTTGAAAGCAGGAGGTCTTCAAACTTGACAGCGTTTAAGGCTTGTGGACTTCAACTCCCAGAATTCCTCCTCCAGTCATGTTAGTTCGGGAATTCTGGGAGTTGAAGTCCACAAGTCTTAAACTTGCCAAGTTTGAAGAGCCTTGGATTAGATAGATAGGTAGGTAGGTAGGTAAGTAGATAGATAGATAGATAGATAGATAGATAGATAGATAGATAGATACTGTAGATCAGGGGTCTTCAAACTTGACAGCTTTTAAGACTTGTGGACTTCAACTCCCAGAATTCCTCCTCTGGTCATTTTAGCTTGGGAATTCTGGGAGTTGAAGTCCACAAGTCTTAAACTTGCCAAGTTTGAAGAGCCTTGGATTAGGTAGATAGGTAGGTAGGTAGGTAGGTAGGTAGGTAGGTAGGTAAGTAGATAGATAGATAGATAGATAGATAGATAGATAGATAGATAGATAGAAGATAGATACTGTAGATCAGGGGTCTTCAAACTTGACAGTTTTTAAGACTTGTGGATTTCAACTCCCAGAATTTCTCCTCCGGTCATGTTAGCTCAGGAATTCTGGGACTTGAAGTCCACAAATCTTACAGCTGCCAAGTTTAAAGACCGTTGCTTTAAGGGTTAGGTACAGTCTCCACTTCCAGAAGCAGCCCATTTCGGAGAAGAGGCTGCCCTTTTGGGGCGTCCCGGGGGGAACCCAAAGAAGTCAACCCCCCCCTTGCCCTCCCTTCGGTCTTTCGGTCTTCATCCCTCCCACCCGCCGCCAGCATCCACTCCTGGTCCTTGCCAGCACCCTTGCCACTCACTGCAGCCGATCTCGTCCGAGCGGTCCTGGCAGTCGGCCT